CACATGGTGTCCGGTATTAGTTTTTGCCGGCAGATGTTCAGTTATCAGTTACGTGACTTATGTCGCGAGATCAGATCGGTATCAGATATCAGTTTCAGTTTCAGTTCAGTTAAGTTATATATGCCAGAATCATGATATTGTTATTATATTCACTGTTTTACATTAGTATGAGTTTCTGCGGAGCACAAGTGTTTTAGTGCTCACGCCCCCACGTATTTCATGTTTTTCAGGTCGCAAGGTCGGGGACGAGGAGTGAGCTGGCGGGCTGTTCAGGATATTTGTGATTTATGTATATATGTTTTGCCACGCAGTTATTTCCGCTAAAACTATCAGTACTTATTGTCAGCTTTTGGTCCGATGTTAGTCGGATAAGACATTATAACCGTTTTATTTATCAGTTAAAAATTTAACCGGTTTTCAGAAAAATCAAGTTTTTCACGGTAGCATCCCAAATCAGTTTTCGAAAAAATTAATATTTTATTTATTATTTAGAAAAATTACGAAAAACGCGTACTCTGATAGTATTAAAAGTCGGGATGTTACACCCTGGGCTTAAAAGCTGATCATGTTCACACTCCGGGGGATCATTAAGGCCAATTAAGGCCTCTCTCATGGTGAACTAACTATTTCTCATACATACCTCGGACATGGTACGGAAATTAAAGATGATGTACAACCAGTACGTGACCCCCACCTGATAAGCTGCTACTGCTAGGCAAGTGCTGACTGACTGGTAGCTGTCGGAGGCTCGACTCTCCTTAAGCTACATAAATATTTGAGCAAAATTTACTAAGAACTAAGCTCAAATAAAAACATGATTCTTATTATTAATTGATCTTACTCGGTTCTCTCGCTCGATTAAAATATCATTTAATAAGGATTTAGATGCTTTGAGCTATTCTGAAAAGATTTGTTAACTTTGAGGCATTCTAGAGTTCTTCGAAATGTTTCTAAGTCTGGTCTGCTTATCTGATTTATCTGATCTAACTTATCTGACTGATCTTATTTATTTGACTGGGTTTGGAAAAATGCTGAATCTCGGTTCACGCTCAAACCGGTATTGTATCACTATTTTTAATAAAAGCAGCTAAAGCCCCAAATTATTAGGCATATCAAACAGTCTCCAAAAATTAATCCGATTACATCTTAAGCCTTAAGTCAACGGGATGAATTTTATTTTATTTATTCCGACTTTTTAACTCGTTTATCGAAAAATCCCGGTTTATTTGCTTTAAGCCCGTATGCACCGATTTTTCTAAAATCTACTCAGATCAACATCACATTTTATTTTATCTCATAAATATTATCAAGTCCAAGCCATTTAAGACGAGTTTTTAGCTATAATACCCTAAAGTGTTCGAAAACGGCGGATAAAAAAAACGGATCGGGCTAAGGAGAGGAGAAATGGAGCAAACCGGTTCGGATCTCACGTTTGAGGGCCTGAAACCGTGACTATTGCTCTTTCAAGAAAACGAACTATTCAAGAATTTAAAGTAACAATTGTAGATGGAAACATTTGTTTTCAATAGACAAAATAAGAACAAATCTGATAGTGCAAAGTTTGCTTCAATATTTTTCCACTTTACATTTTAATTATTATTTTTTTTATCATCCCTCTTTAAAACTATTATAAGCAAAATAAATAAATAAAATGGCATGTGGAATAAAGAGAACACTAATTTTGATTCTAGATTTTAGCTCAGTACATAAGAACAAAGACTACTCTACCACGAAATTTTGTCTAAACCTCACGAAACTTAAATTATAAATTTACAGTCTTCAAGCGAGAGTGGAAAATGGGCTCAGATTGGTGGAGAGTAAACTGAATGTAGGGAAAAGACTTACGTGTTGACAGGAAATGAGGAACCACGGAAGCTATGGCCGGAGTGTAGAAGCTACACCAGAGTGGACTGAGGGCTTGGTCGCGAGCTTGAGCTGGTGAGGTGCGGCTCGTCGCCGTCACGGCTTTAGCCGGAAAACGGGAGGGCTTGCTGGAAATTGTTCAAGCCATGATTGGAGGATGAAGAAAAGCTTATGTTCTTTGGTCTTGAAGGTGGATCTTGAGAATTCAAGGCTAGATCTTGACTTGAGTTAAGACGTAATGTAGATTTTTGTACAAGATCTTGGAAAAATGGGTGTGTTCTTGACTAGATCTAGAAATGAGAGTAGAAGACAATGAATAATGCTCTTGGAGCTAGGGTTTCTTGTGTAGGAGAAATGAGGCTAAGTGCTCTATTTATAGAAGAGGAGAAGACTAGGATTTTATGCTCTTATTGGGCTTGCTCTTGGGCTTTTAAAAACGGGCTTAAATTAATACTCGACTTAGAAATTTGAAATGCTCGGTCAAATAAAATATGACGGGCTTGAAATAATAATCTCGACTTAGATCGAAAAATAATATTATGGCTCGATTTTTAACGCCTTGGGCTCGGATATTTAATTAATTGGATGCTCTCTTTATGGCTTAGACTTGAAAATAAATAAATTATGCAATTAATATTAATAATTCTCTGCATAATTAAAATAATAATAATTTTGATAAATAAAGTCGAGCTACTAATATAATTTTGGGCCGGGGCTTACAATCTATCCTCCTTAAAACATTTCCGTCCCCGGAAATGACAAAACTAAACATAAGGCCAACTCGACTAAAACTAGAAACTGAAAAATACATAATACGATACTACTAATCAGAACTGGAAATCTGGATAGTGAGCTCGAATCTCCTCCTCTCGCTACCACGTGGCCTCGGCCTCGCCGTGGCGAGTCCACTGGACTCGAACGAGTGCTACATCTCTTCTCTTCAGCTGATGAACCTTTCGGTCCAGAATAGCAATCGGCTGCACCTCGTATGTCAGGTCCTGCCCGACGTCAAGCTCACTGTAACTC